GGTCGGGGAGCCGGGACCCCCCCCTGGGAGCCGGGACCCCCCTGTTCTGAGCCTTCCTCCGGCTCCAGCCTGCCCCCCTGCTGGCTCCGGGCCCCCAGCTCCTGCCAGCCAGCGGCTCCAGCTTTATTTCAGCACACGGTCGAGTTTTTGTCTCTCCCGCCCGAGCTGCTGCAGCGGTGCTGAGAATGTGGAGCAGGCCTGGAGTCGTTTTCCCTCATTTCAGTGGAATTTACTCCTGTTATCCCCTAGTAGGGGAAAGCAAGTTATATTCTATCAACTTGATTCCCCTGTTTACTGTATCAGAGGAATGCATTTGATGATGTTTCAGGCTGTGGAAGGGTTTGGGCTGCAGCGCTCCCAGGACAGCAGCAAACCCTACAGAGACCCCGAGAGTTCAGATGAAGTGAAATCTCTGACCAGAGCCAGCTCAGTAAAGGGGTGCAGGCGAGACACTTCCTGAACGTCATCCTGCAAAAGTGCTGCTGGATTTTGGGGGGAGGGAGGGCACTGGAATGTGTGAAAACGGTGGGTCAGACCCTGTTGCAGTGGAGCTGGTGTTTCCTCAAAAGGTCTGGTGTGCTCTGAGGCTGCTTTAAAAACGTGCTCTGATCCTTTCCGTTTCTTAGGAAGTTGCTGCTTTGCCTGGAGCACGTGTTGCACGTACTCACTGGAACATCTGCACTGGCAGCTGCCTCTGTTTAAAAAGACAGGCAGCCAACTCAGAGAGCACGGAGCAGTAGGAACAGAAACGGGAACAAAAACATGCTTGCTGGGTTGGCAGAGCTGCAGAATGCAAACAGGGGGACTGTCCATGGCAGTATAAACAAAGATGCATGCCCTATTTCTAGTGTGCAAGCCCCCTTTTGGTTTAGAAGGGGGAAATTTAACTTGAAATGTTTAAAACTCCTGATTGAGTCAGAGGTTTGAAGGCTGAGCACCGTTGCTGTGGCTCCTGGCTCAACGTGTTGAGGCTGTTGAAGAGTTATCAGGGACTTTGTCTGGGCCTGCAAAGTACTGATGAAATCTGAAGCAAAAGTCTGTTTTAATTTTCTTCTTTTTTAGTTAATGAAACTGGCAGCTTTGCAAAAGGAAGTTTTCTGAATCACCATCTTAGGGAAAACTAGTGTTTCCTTGGATTACTGCCTGCTGCACATCATTTGAGCATGAGGAGTATTCTGTTTGCCTGGTAATTATGAGGGAATTCCTGCTTTGGGAAGAGGGAATGGAAAGAAAACACTCAAGAATGTTCTCAGTGAACAAACATAGTGGTAGTTTTTTGGGAAGATGCTGTTACAAAGCAAAGAGACAAAGATGCATGGATAAGTCATCAGGGCTAGTCCAAGAAAACCCAGCACAAGGACAGAGAGGTAAATTTAAGACCTGAACATAAATATGTTGCCAGAGAGAAAGTTCGTGCAGGAAACAAGACTGCAGCAGATTTTGTGTTCCCCAAGGAAATACATGACACGACAGGTAGGAAGGAGGTATTTAAGAAGGGTTTCCAGATTTGTGCACAATTCCTTTTTGTTCATGACTCTGCCAACCAGACGCAGCCCAGCACCGAGGCTGGTCAGAAACTCAGCCCCCTCCTCCTCCTCAGCCTCACACGATTCTAAATGCAGGTTTCGCCCCGTGTCCCGGGGGCTGTGACCCCCCTGCTGGCAGCCCCCCGGCAGCAAGGCCCCCCGGGTGGAGTGGCTGCAGCTCCGGGATCCAAGCCCACCAGCTTCGCGTCCATGAAAAAGGCTCCGCACAAGCCCCGGCCCCGCTGCCTCCCCGGGCGGCCCCGCTGCCTCCCCCGCCTCTCGCGGGGCCGGGAGGAGGAGCCGCCGCCTCCCGCCTCCTCTGGC